CAGATAATTAAGGGCCCAATTCAAGGCATTCAACAAAAGTCTCTATCATAAAAGGAATGACTTATGTTTTTCAAATTATCCAGTCTACTGAGGTCTAGATATTTGAGATGCGGTAGGTGCCCAATCATTGGTAGTTCTTCACACTTTCTACAACCTTTTAATTTGATCTTCACCAGATTGTCTAGTCCCAGTAAATGCTCCTCGATAGTACTGACCATCTTCGTCATAATCCATGTGGGTAACTTGTCACCCATGAAGTTCTGTACTGTCAAGCTTTTCAAATTCGGATGAGGTTCAAGGCCTCCCAAGACAGAATCATCATTGACCGTGCCTTGCCTCCCACTGCTCCATTGAAATATTAACTTATAAATATTTTCCTTTCTACACAGATCTGCTGGTTATTTACTTTCTCAAGATTTCTTATTTCAAGTTCCCCTCCAAGTTCCTTCAAAAATCCAATCTCACCAATTTGTTGACCACCATCATAACCAACATTGAATAATTGCAATGTTTGCAGACAAGTTAATTGTCCCATATTGAATGGCATTAGACAAGTTGCATCGAATGAATAATAGTGTAGGTGTCTCAAGTTTTTCAACTTGCTCAACTGACTCGGAATACGCTCAAGAAAGTCACATCCATTTAATATTAAAGTCTGTAGATTAAAAAGCATGCAAAGTGAATCTGCGAAAGCTTGAATTTTGGTGCCTGATATATCAAGATATCGTAAATGTATTAGCTTGTTGATTGATGACGGTACCTCAGCAACGTCAACACCATGGAAACTTAATACACGCAAATACTAAAAGTTTGATAACATGCTCCCAGAAACATTCTCTGCTAAAAACAAGGTGCGTAACGATCTTGCTTTTTCCTTGACAACTGAAGGCATTGATTCCCTTAAGGACTTCATTGAAAGATACCGAACATGTGGATGCCCATCTTCTGTACTGCACCCTACATTAAATCCTTCATATCTCGAAATTGATTGAGCAAGAGCATGAACAAGGCTGTGCATCTTACAATCGGTAATGTTACCATAGTCATCTCTTTTCACATCCTGCAATAGGGAATTTTGCAACAAAATGTTGAAAAACTCATTTCCCAAGCTTTCCATTTTCAAAATGATCTCCTTGACTCAGTTGGAGAAATCCTTCAGCCATCCATAATTGTACCACTTGATCCTTTTCAATGTCATGATCCGGACTGAAAATTGAACAATAGGCGAAACACTTCTTGACAGATTTTTATGGCAAATGATCAAAACTCAGCTTCAGCACTTGCAAGACTGCATTTTCATCCCCGTTTAAGTTCCAGAGGCCATTTCTCAAAACTGATGACCACTCACTGGTTTCTTTCGTGAGATGCAACATTCCTTCAAGCAAGTTAGATGATAAAGGCAAACCACTACACTTGTGCACAATTTGCTTACCAATTGTTACCAATTCCATGGGCACATCACCTTCTGGAAATGCTCTTTCTTTGAACACAGACCAACAGTCATCTGCTGATAATTTCTCCAAAAAATGAAGATGATGTGTTGCTACTGTGGATGCCACTCGTTCACTTCGATTGGTCAGAATAATGGCATTTCCCTTTGTTGCATTAATGCCAACTAAGGACCTTTTAAAATCATCCCACTCCTCAAGCTTTTCATTCCAAACATCATCGAGAAGGAGCAAGTGTTTTGTACCACCTAGTTCCTTGTGAAGGATTTGAAGTAAAGCGGTCCTACTTTGCACATCAATACTTCTCTGTGTTAATGATTCTAAAACCAGTCTAATAATTTTGTTCGCATCAAAAATCTCAGATACACAGACCCATATTCTCTCATCAAAATATCTAACTATTTGTTCATCGTTGTATATCAACCGAGCCAATGTAGTTTTACCTAGCCCACCCATGCCCTACTATAGGGAAAACTGAAACTACTTGGTTGGTCTGACAAATTAGGGATTCAACCATTCTTGAAACATCATCCTCCCTTCCAACAATATTGGAATCACCATTGAAACAGTCAGTCTCCTTATGGTTATATGATCAATTCCATCCCCAACTCCCCTTGGGATAGCAAAGTCATTGGCTTCCTCATTAATCATTTTCAGGTTCACAATGATCTCCTTGATTTTGGCCCTCATTTTACAAGAAAGTGGATTGGTAGTGATAAAAGAAAACATACCTTCCACTCACTCTTCTTTAGTGTTGTGTAATTGAGCTCATCCAACAAATTGTCAGCATCATAAGCTAAGTCTTCAAGTTTCTTCAGCCAAAGCTTTAGTGCTTGGTCCTTTCTTTGTTGCCTCTCAGCATCACGTAACACTGCTCTAGCCATAGCTAAACATCTCCTGAGCTTTTTCAGTTCTTTCTTGGAACCCCACAAATGGCTAGTACCACTTGTTGCAAGCAAAAGCAACTTTTGAAGTAAAACCTCTACTGAAGCACTTAGCAGGACTTCTGCCATTTTTTCAGATAGTGTTATTTGCAGCAGAGCAACCAAAAATTGTCTTGTGGAAGAACATGCAGTATCAACAAAGACTTAAAAGAGTCTTTAGTCAACACATAGAGCCGCCAGATGATCCGGGCCTCATTTTCCTAATAGCCACCCACTATCATATTTTATTCTCTTATTAAAAAACATATTCCCTCCGTCCAACAATAGTTGTCCGCTATACTAAAAATGATTGTGTAACAATATTTGTCTAATTTTAAAAATTAAGAGATATAATTTACCATTTGTGTTTACTTAGAAAATCAATAGATAATATCTATATATATATGTATATTTATTTATGTGCATGCCAAATCAATAGAAAGTTCCACATATATACTTGGATGGATGACATGTAGCACAAGAGGATGTTTTTAAAATATTTAATCAAGTAGAACAGTATTTTTAAATAACTTCATCAAGTAGAGAAGTGTTTTAAAGAGTATCAATAGTTGATTTAATTCATAGTTATATATAAATTATTAAGATAAAAAGAGATGTGAACATGATTAATTTCCACGCGGACTATGTTAATAAGATTGCTGAACCTATCATTTGTTGTCAAAGTCCACACAACAAATTGACTAATCATGCTTCTAAACATCTCCATGACCATCATCTGTAAGAAAAAACAAACTCCATCTGCTAAGATAACAATGAAAGCCATAAACATACTTTTCTTCTTCTCATCTATATGGATTCTGTCCACTGCTCTCGATACCATACCTCTAAATCAACCTCTAACAGATGGAAGTACCATTATTTCATCTGGTGCCAAGTTTAAGTTAGAATTTTTCTCACCTGGGACATCAGGGAAAAGGTACTTAGGAATATTATTCAATAAAGTTACTGTACAGACAGTGGTATGGGTTGCTAATAGAGAAACTCCACTCAATGATACATCAAGCGCGCTAAATTTAACCAGACAAGGGATTCTTACTCTTGTGAATGGTTCTGGCAGAGTCATTTGGTCATCCAATTCCACTAGACATATGGAAAATCCAATAGCACAACTTCTTGATTCAGGCAATCTTGTTGTTAGAAATGATTCAACTGAGAATTATCTGTGGCAGAGTTTTGACTATCCCACTGACACCTCTCTACCTGGAATGATTCTTGGGATTGATCTGAAGACTGGTTTTCGTGGTTTCCTCAGGTCGTGGAAGAGCAGAAATAACCCCTCCGAGGGTGAGTTTAGTTGGGTAATTGATCTTCGTGGTTTCCCACAACCATTTGTCATGAACGGTTCCATTGAACGCTATAGGTCTGGACCGTGGAATGGTCGAGGCTTTTCTAATTCGCCATCTCAGCTACCAAGTCCTGATTATAATTATACATATGTATCTGATCCAGAGAAAGTTTCCTTTATGTATCAGTTAACGGACAGGTCTATCCTTGCAAGAGTAGTGATGCAAGTAAGTGGGGTTCTACAACTCTCAATATGGAATAATCAAACTCAGAATTGGGATGAGTATGTTAGTGTACCAGCTGATAACTGTGACATTTATGGCCAGTGTCAGGCATATGGTTTGTGCAACAGTGGCAACTCTCCAATCTGCAGATGTCCGGATAAATTTGAACCGAAGGATCCAAGAGAATGGGAAAGGGGAAATTGGTCAAAAGGTTGTGCTAGAAAGACATCATTGAATTGCCAAAAGGAAGTAAAATTCTTGAAATATCCAGGCATCAAGATTCCAGACACTCGTTTTGCTTGGTACCGTCGAGGAGTGACTCTAAATGCATGCGAGGAATTGTGCTTGAGAAACTGCTCATGTATGGCTTATGCAAATCCAGACATAACAGGGACAAATGAAGGCTGCTTGCTTTGGTTTAATGAGCTGATGGACATCAGAGAGTTTGGTGCTAGTGGGCAAGATATCTATGTAAAGTTGGACGCTTCCGAGTTAGGTGCAAATCTGTTTCTTCACCTTTTCATGTAAGGTAGTTAAGAATGCTACATTAGATTTTGAGCATTATTCTAGCCCAAATTAAATGTCATGGAATGAGCAAGTTGAGGTTTCTCTACATTAAACAAAACGAAACAAAACAGGTTTCCTTCTTATGAAACTTGATGAGTTTATTTAATTTGATCCTCAGGTAACTCCAGTACAGAAAAAGTAAAGATATTGAGTATCAGCTTGCCCGTGGCAGCATTAGGTCTGCTCTTAGCTCTATGCTTAATCTTGTACGTATGGCGCAAGAAGAAGGATCAGAATCAGCAACATTTTAGCAAAGGTAAACTACAGGTTTTTGCTCCTTTTGAATTAGTGGTACCTTTTTTCTGGAGTCACATTTGGTAAATATCAGAATTTTTCTCTTCACATCTAATTATGTCCTTATTTTAACAGGAAGAGGAACAAAAAGCTCTGAAACGTTCTCCACTAACGAAAGCAAAGATGAAGAGCTAGATTTACCGTTGTTTGATTTTGAAACTATATCTCATGCTACCAATAACTTTTCGCTGAGCAACAAGCTTGGAGAGGGTGGTTTTGGACCTGTTTACAAGGTAACAATGTGAACAGAAACTTTTTCTGTATCATCCAAACAAACTAATAAGATCAGAAGCCATGGAAACTGAGCAATGTAATGGCGACTTTCAAGAAGAGATACAGATATTTTGGTGGAATACTCAACTGATTCCATTTTCGGAATATCCAAAGCATATATACATAGCATGAAAAAAATATCCAACCTATATTAAGTGACTTCAAATTGATAGCTAAGCAACATCTAAGGTAGGCATCTAACTACCTAATATTTAACAAACTAACTACTGCTTAGAATAATTATAATTACAAATATATATATCTCAATACCTCTATCTGTAATTGTAATTACAAATATATATTCTAATATCCCCCTTAGGTTGGAGGTGAGGTTCTCAATCCACTTGGTGAGTACAGCAGAATGTTTGCCAAGTGACAGTCAACCTTAATGTATTCTGTCAATTCACGGGATACAGGATTTCTTGCTATATGTATGGCATACTGACTGTCACATAAGATTGAAGCAGGCTGAGGAAAAGACCCATCTAACTCTCTGAACAACCTGCACAACCAAGTAATTTCTCCAACCAGTTTTTTGAGGGATTAGTGTTCAGATTCTGCTGATGATATGGAAATTGTTTCTTGCTTCAAGGATTTCCATATTATAGGTCTGTTTCCTAGAAATAAAAGGTAACCACTGATTGATCTCCTAGAGTCGGGACATGTGGCCCTATCTGAATCACAGTAACCAATTATGGTGCAGTCAGGATCATTTGAAAGAAAATGCCAAGTGTAGCATATGTCTTGAGATACCTGAGCAAATGAAAGCTGCTTGTGGGTGGGGTTCCCTTGGATTTTGCATGAACTGGCTTTGATATTGGACATTATAGGCAATTTCAAGCTTAGTGTTTGTCAAGAAATTTAACTTCCCTATTAACTTTCTACAAAAGGAAAGATATGATATTGCTGGACATTCCTTATCTTTTCGTTTTACGGTAGAGATCAAGAGAAGTGAAGATGCCAAAACTAAGACAATCATACTCCTTCAAGTCACCACCGAACTTCCTTTGTGAGATAAAGACTCCATCCATTCAGTATAGAACTTCCAAACCCAAAATATAGTGTAACCTGCCATGTCGGTAATCCTTAAGCTACGCAATATCTCCTGAGTCAGTTCCTGTGATGATAACATCATCTACATACACAGAAATATACATTGCGGAAAAGTGTTTTATGTAGAACAAGGAGTAATTTTACAGAGAGTGAGTGTACCCTCTGTCCTCTGGAACATAATGCATTAGCTAGTTTGCAATACCACGGCCTACTTGCTTGTATGAGACCATAGAGTGACTTGTTTAGCTTCCATGTAGACTTCTACATGTAAATAAATACCCATGGAGAAATCCATTATTTTCATCAAATAGAGAAATAAGGCTCTGATAGTAGTCATCTGAACAACTAGTGAGAAATTTTTTGTAATTAATCCTTCTTTTTGAGTATAACCTTTGACAACCAGCCTGTCATTAAACCTCTCAATACACCCATCTGCCTCATGTCTCATTTTATATACCCATTTACAGCCTACAGCCTCCTTTCCACTGGCAGGGAGACAACTTTCATTGCTGCTTGTCAAGCAAGGAGCAACGCTGCCTCTTCATAGAAAGTTGGCTCATTGTTAGTGTAAACAGTTTGAACCAAAAGCAGACTATCAGGAGCCAGATGATTTAGCTGTTAGTAAAGTAAGATTTCTCTAGAAACTCTTAAATTGTAGATATTTTGTAGTAGATAAGTATTTTGATTTAAAAATGAGTGGTGTGTGCATAGTCTGGTGTGGAATATTTACTTATCGTATGCTTGTAATTCTCACATTTTATTTATATATTGACCTTATGTAATGGAACAGCTAGAGTGAAATATAGAACTCAAAGAAAAACTTCAACCTTTCCTATCTTCATTTCATCTTCCTTTTCTTCTTAATATGGCATCTGAGCCTATTTCCTAAGGGATTTGAATAAAAATTTGTTTGTTTCGATCATCTACTTTCTATGTTTTCTTGAATTTGATTGCTGGAAAAATTCATGGCTCCTGAAAATAAATCAACGATAAGTCCTCCAACTTTTACCGGAGAGAACTATCACATTGGGATCATCAAGATGAAAGCTTAGTTAAAGGCTCTCAACTTATGGGAGAACCTGTGTTCAGCCATCGAGAATCATCTGTGCCTTTAAAAAGAAAATACAAGTCTGCTCAGAAAAATTATCTGTCATTTTCCTATTTTAACTAAACAACAATGTCAAGCTCTAGTTTATTATTTGTCAGTCAAATATTCTGGAGAATCTCATTCAACTAAATTATCTTTGAAAACCTAGGGTGTACTCAAAGATGGACAAGAAATTGCTGTAAAGAGACTTTCAAGATATTCAGCCCAGGGAACGGATGAGTTCAAGAATGAGGTTATCTTCATTGCTAAACTCCAACATCGGAATCTTGTGAAGCTTCTTGGTTGTTGTTTACAAGCAGGAGAAAAAATGTTGGTTTATGAGTACATGCCTAACAATAGCTTGGATTGGTTCCTTTTTGGTTGGTTATCACTTCTCTCAACTCTTAACGCACTTGGATTTTCATTAATCATATCTCGAAATTGTTAAATCATCAGATATTTGAAATGATCCTATTATAAGCACTGGATTTTTGCAGATACAGATAGGAGGTCACTGCTTGATTGGCCTAAGTGCTTCCATATTATTAATGGAATTGCTCGCGGACTTCTCTATCTTCACCAAGACTCTAGATTGAGGATAATACACAGAGATCTTAAGCCTAGCAATGTTTTGCTAGACACTGATATGAACCCGAAGATATCTGATTTTGGCATGGCAAGAAGTTTCGGAGGAAATGAGACTGGAGCCATGACAAAAAGAGTTGTTGGGACATAGTAATAATCTTTATACCAATGAACTATTTGCAGTATATTAAAAATCTACTTATTTTGTTTATCTGACTTATCCTACAGTGGCTACATGTCTCCGGAGTATGCAGAAGAAGGAAAATTTTCAGTGAAATCAGATGTATTTAGCTTTGGAGTTCTAGTATTGGAGATTTTAAGCAGGAAGAGAAATAGAGGGTTCTTCCATCCAGACCATAACCATAATCTTCTAGGACATGTAGGTGCACTTCTAGTCTATCTTATATGTTAAGTAATATAAAACTTATAACATCTAACTGAATAATATCAAATATTCAGGTCTATATCCTCTTCAAAGAAAGCAGGGTTATGGAAGTAATAGATGAACAACTAAGGCAGTCATGCAATCAGTATGAAGTTGAAAGATCAGCCCATGTAGGTCTATTATGTGTGCAGCAATGTCCAGAAGATAGGCCGAGTATGGCGTCAGTTGTGCTCATGTTGGGTAGTGATGTTGCACTACCCTTGCCGAAAGAGCCCGGATTTTTCAATGGAAGAAGCCAATCCACAGCCACCGAAGCAGACACTTCATCTAGCAAGCATGGTGAAACTTCTATCAATGAATTAAGCATCACACAATTGGATGCAAGATAGGAGATAAATTTTAGGATACATTTGCTTAATTGTTCCTGTCATATAGCTGAATAACTAGTAGTTGTTCAACATGATTAGTAGACACTTAATTTGATGCATTACTATGAGTAATCCTGAATTCTAGCTCCATTAACGACATAGGGAAGTTAAGTGTTTTGATGTCTTAAAATAAGAGCGATTTTATCAAATTATGCATCATAAAGGTAAAAGAGTATCTTCTAATATAAGAAACTTCTTATTGTGGAAATAACATCCAATAGCAATGTACTCCCGTGTTCCGCTTCACACAAATATTAAGAAAATTGGTCAAACAATAAAGATCTGTATATTTTCCTTTAAGCTTCTCTCATAAACTTGTCGGAAATATGAAATTTGTGCATCAAATTAGTTCTAGCTCTTGGCCTTCTAATATTAGTACCTAATAGAAAAAGAAAGTGTCATTTTTTTTGCTAAATGCCTCTCAAAGTGAGAGTATTTCAATTATATAGAGAGTATAAAGATTACACATCCCTAAAGATCTGTCATTCCAGTCCATAAAGATCAACTATTCTATAACTACAAATCTGCTATTCAATCCCCTTAAATATGTTTTACTATCGCTCCGAATCCTCTATTCTATCACAATATTTATTCCTTTGATTCTACAACAAATCTATATGATCATGCTAATTTATATCACTATCTAATTACAATAATATATACAATCATTTAGATGTCCATCATGCTAACACCCCCCCCCCCTCAAATTGATGTTGGTCGATCAAGAAGCATCAATTTGCCTACTAGAAACTCATGGATTTTGTAAACGCATCAGCTATTTGAAGAGCACTGGACACATGTCAAAGAGCAATGACTCATATATCTACAACTTCTCGTATATAATGACAATCTACTTCAATGTGTTTGGTCCTCTTATAAAAAACTGGATTAGTAGCAAACTGAATAGCACTAATTGTATTATCAACATGGAGAGGAGTGGGATGAGATTGAGTAAATCCAATATCAGTAAGTAATCCACGAAGCCGTACAACCTCAGAGCAAGTAGTAGTAGACATGGATCGATATTCATCCTCCGTTGAAGATTTTGACATATGATCTTGCTTTTTACCCTTCCAAGATATCAATGACTCTCCAAGAAACATGTACCAACCAGTAACTGAACGTCGAGTATCAGGACATCCCTCCTAGACAAAATCACTAAAAGCATTAAGACGAATAAAAGAACCACTTGGAAAGAAAAATCCGCGAGTAGATGTCCCAAGAAGATAGCGAATGATGTGATGAACAACCACCAAGTGGAGATAAGGGGGAGCTTGCATAAATTGACTAACTTGTTGAACGGCAAAAGAGATATCAGGCCGAGTAATATTAAGGTAATTTAGACTCCAAGCTAATTGTCGAAACATAGTTGGATCAAGAAGAATATCGCCTTCCTCACTACGATACTTCACATCCAATTTCAAATGAGTATCTACAGAGGAAGAATCTTGAAGACCAACCAAAGAATTCAAATCCTGAGCATATTTGTATAAAATGTTGTCGCCTAGTGGACAATGAAGAGGGTTGATAACCATGAGGTTGAATTCAAATATAAGCAAAAGCAAAAGCACTTTAATTTCTTTGCATCTATCTATGCCTTAGTAGATAGAGTTATCCGCTACCTATATAATTCAGTGATTCCTTCCCATTTGCATAAACTTGATGGAAAATTTATATGATACTTATTTCGACGTGAGGGTCATAGGTACTTGGAAAATAGTTGAGGTGCGTGTACACTTGCCCAAATACCACCATTATAGAAAACCTCGCTTCCATGTTCTTTGTTTCTAGAACAACAATTGGGCCTCGTGTATTGGTCACATGCGTTGCATGTGTGTCCCATGTTAATTTTTACAGATCCATTTGAATGATTAAAATATTATGAAAACATTACAAATAAATCTTTAAAAGTGACAAGAAACACCAAATTAGGGGTGTATTTTAATGCTTAAAATTAATTACTTTTAAGCAACCAACAATAATTTTTTAACTTTCATAAGTACTTAGAAAATTTCCAATAAAGTCACAAAAAATTAACTTAAGTGCAAATAAAAATACAAATTCACAACAATCTTAAATTCATAAAAAATTAAATTAAAGAAGTATAATAGAGAAAAAACACAAAAAAATAAATAGGGAAGAAAAAATACAACAGACACATCCCCTTCTTAAGATTTTATTTATATCAATATATACGGAAAAAGAAATACAGAATCATTATACAATATTTTGTGTTCTTGCCAACCCTCTTCCAAAATCAATCAAAATTCAAGAGTCTTCTTCAACGAGTCAAATTAAAACATGAATCAAATGGAATAGTGATATAAGTGTTCACAACTTTAACTATAGAATGAAATGGGTAACCTTGGATGGGGGTCTCATGAAATAAAAAATATGAATTTATAGAGATAAAGATGGAGGCATACCAAAAAAATATCTTAAATTTTAAAATTAAATGCTTTGAGGCAATAAATATGAAATACGCCACTAACGACCTTAAATTATGTAGATCAAGTCCA